ATTAAAGAAAATATTTTTACTATTATGTTTAAAATAATATGAATATATTAAACGTTCATTAAGCAATTGTTTGAAAACACAAGAACAATTAAAGAAAGTAATTTTTTAATTATTATAAATTATTTTATTTTACTATTATTTCAATTGCATTTTTAATAATTGTTAAGTATATAATATAGTTTCACTTACTTTAATATTTTGACTTCCAAGTTCTTCGCTAATAATTGACCAAAAAGTTTTTCTTTTTTGTACATGATGCATATCGTCATAACGTGCTTCTATAGCTCCTATCAAGGCACGAGTTTCTTGTATAGACCATATGTTTTTTTCTTTTGCGTTTAAGCAGTGTAAATTTTCAGTGACGATTACATCTTCCAATTGGATTGAATTTTTGTTGTTTACAAGTGAGCTCACATTACTTGTGCCTTGGACTAATTCTTCATTAGAATTTTCAACTATGCTCACATTGCTTTTTGTAAATTCGTGGCTTATGTCAATAATTTTTATAGGTTGTATAATGTCATTATTTTCTTGATTTTTAAAATACGGTTCATTGTTTTGGGTAAATCCTATTAAATTATTTGGAACCCACATTCTGCAATTTTGATCTGAAATATATTAACAGAATGAGAACATTTTATATCATTTATTCTACAAATACATTTACCGGTGTCTTCCACATAAAAATCACTATTCTTATTGGTAATCCATCCATTTGTTATTCGCAGTAAAAGATACGGCATAACTAATGAGAATAATTTTATCGATATCAAAGGTTAGACTCGTATTCTAAATAATCACCAATTATTTATTAAAAATTACAATTCTTTTATCAATTTATTCTTGCTTTTTTGATGAAAAAGTTATCGAATATACATAGGTTTATAACCTCACTTTGAAGTGAGTTTACGAGACTCACGAAAGCACACGGTCTTGATCTTGTGCAGATTAAAAAACTCAGTTGAATCTCACTTGTCAGAATGCAAAAGGAACGCGCATTCAACTGAGTTATGACGTCACAAGTGAGAATTATCTGAGAATCGGTGTAAAAGGAAAGCAGCTTTTGTTAGGTCGATAATCAAACATATAACCTTCAATTCGCGAAGAATGCCAGCAGCCATCATACCCAATAATTCAGGCTTCGAACGAAACCATAACAACGCTTTTCCTTTAAGCCGTAATCATAACTTTAATCAAATTGTCATTAAGTTCATAAGTGTCTTTCAACAACCGTATCTGAGCTTCCCATTTCTTAAAATCTTGATCCGTTCCACTGTATTCGTTCAGAAGTTCACTAATTGTCTTAATATTTACACCTAGCGTCCGAACCTGGTCGACATTATGAGCTGATGACGACGATCTTCTTAAGGGGTTAGGCCACCTTGCGGGTAAAAAAAAGAGCGAATTTCGCGAATTTTTTTCAAGCGTATAATAAGATAAGTCGCTTTTTTTTCTAGAGGTCTTTATTATATACGCATTAAAGTATATAAAAAAATTTTTTTTTAATTTTTTGACGGTAAAATGGCGGCGCTAGTGTCCGATCTTCGAGCAGCTTTTTTTTTATAACTTAAAACGGGCGTACTCGCCGAGCCCCCAGAGTTGATCCTGGAACAAAAACAAAAATTTGTTCTTTAAATATATACTAAAAACTAATGGACTACGGGCGGAAATTAAACAAAAAAATTTTTTCGCAAAATGGCGGCCGTTAGAAAAAAAAACGCCAATTTTTCGCATAAAAATCACATGATAAATTGTTTATAACAAAAAAAGTTGATGACTTATCGCAAAAAGCTCCCGTAGTCCACTTGATTATAGATGTCAGAATATACTGTAAAAATTTCAAACGATTCGATAAAGAACTGTAGGCGCTAGCGGTACGCCCGTTTTGAAAAATATACTTTCTAGAAAAACGCGATTGAAGTTTAAGTAACTTTTAACGGCCGATAATCACAGTTTACCTTTAATCTGCAATGCCTGGTCCGTAGAGTTGACCTTCCATATTTATGTTCATCGCTTCTTCTTCTTTTCTGGCCGATTTTAAGGCAATACGGGCTAAAATTCAATGGGTAAAACAGTCATCCGAGCGCAGGTAACCGGATTAGAAGCGCGCCGGCTTCAGGCGCGCCGCGGGGTGCTTCGGGAGACTGCCGAAGACGACCTGTTCGAAACTTTTTATGGCCATGGCGTATTTTTTTTCTTATTCTAGAGGGTTTTGGGAAGGCTTTAAGCCAATAAAAAAATTACCGATTTTTTTTGAGGTCCAAGGTGGCCTAACCCCTTAACCTCTCGTTCTCTTGCCGCACAATATCAATCTCGCGCTGCAACAGCAATCTCTCTCGACGTAATAGATCCAGTTCGTATGACGCATTACGATTTAAAATATCTCCAGTGGGGTTAGATCTTGCCTCTCCACTGTTACCTGCCGGAACAACGCTGTTTCCTCCTTCCGATGCCTCAGACGTTTCACCCGATTCGTTTCCATTTCCACTATCCTCCAGGAATTTACCATCAGGATCAAACTTTACTATCTTAAACAACAGTTCTGCTTTATTTCCTGACGTTGGCAGCTTCATCCTCTTAAGTATCTCTTTCAATTCAATAATCGTGCATTTATTCAACGACTTATGATTCACTATCTTGGTTAATCCCACTTCTGAGGGTGCGTTCCGAAATTTGCTGACAATGCTGATAATACTGTTTTCTCGTTCCAAAATCGGTTTCAGCCACGTTTCAGCTCTGCTGTAAATACTATCTTTTTCAAGAAAGTAGGTCTTAGGGAATTGCTGACTTCCGGCTGATTTTGCACAATATCAGAAGGTAGTGCAAGTTCAGTAATGCATATGGCGACTGGTATATGGGTATATACAACGTTTCGTGTAAGTTCTTAAGACTTATGATAAGAAAAAAGGAGAAATAAAAATGTCTCAGTTAATACAATATGAGATCATTGACGGAAAGGACAATAAATCTTATATAATATATCTTACACCTGAAGACCACGAAAAAGCATTATCTGGTAAGAAGTACAATTATTAAAAAATCATAACCTAATCTAATGTAATAATCTCATAAATTTTAATTTTTATTTTAATATGACCTTGTGTATGAATGAAAGAAATATTGGTACGGGAATAAATATTCGTCTTATATTTGTATCTTGTGCGTTATGTGTTAATCTCTGTTCCTAACTTTTTTTGCGCAAGATCTGAATTTTCATGTGCAAGACCTGATATTCAATTTATATTCTTATTATACAGATAAGAATTATGCTTGCAAAATTCTCAAAAACCTTAAGGAAACAGGAATAACTCCAAGTACTTCGCAGAATGTTGAAATTGTCAACAATGACGAAAGTAACAAAGAAAATAGCAGTACAAAAGAAACAGAGAATAGTGAAATTGAAAATGCTGAGACAGGTACTGCCATTCACAAATTTTTTTTCTTAGTAATCATTTTGTTACTTAAATTCATTAGTTTTTAATTTATGTTATTGTTCATTTGTTGAATTGTTAGCTATTTGGTCAAGAAGCACAACTCTATTATTTTTGGACTTATACCAAGAATATGAACCAAGTTTAAATAATGGAAAATGCAATCATAAAAGTATTTATGAAAAAATATCAGAGAGATTAGCAGATAAAAATATTTCATTTTCTCCAAAACAATGTATGACAAAATTAACAACTATGAAAAGAATGTATAAGAAAATCAAGGATCATAACTCAAAATCAGGCAATAATCGTCAAACCTGGCAGTATTATGAAGTAACTTTATTGTTGCTGTATTTTTATTATATTTTATTTATTTTATTGAAGCTATTAAAATATTATCATTAACTTTGCAGCAAATGGAAGAAATATTCGGAAAAAACCATGGGTAAAGCCATTATGTACGCAATCATCAACAGTACAGAATTCAAAAAATGAAATTGAAAGTTATGAGCCTAGTACGTTTTTATTAATATAAGTTAAAATATGTACATATAAATATATTTATATAAGTAAAAATATTTTTGTATAAAAATGTTATTGTATATAAATCTTTTTTGTTTTCAGCTCCAAAAATGACTAAATTGTCAACTGCAGTTGACAAAAATTTCCAAAAATTTATAGAAATAAAAGAAAAATCTAGAGAAGATAAGAATAAACATCATGAATTGGTAATGCATCGATTTGATACACTTAATGCAATTTTACAAAAGTTCGTTGAAAATGAAAGTAAAAAGTAAAAGCAACAAACCTTTCCAGTATTAAAGAGAGTCTTTCCAGTATTAAAGAGAGTTCAGTATTAAAAAGAGATTCATTCATGAATCAAAAAAGCTGCAATTTTTAGTTTTATATTTGCGTTTATTTTTAGTTTTATATTTGTAGTTTTATACTCTCATTAGACTACTTTATTTATGTTTTTATATTGTTTAAAATTGGAGAGTCCTATATTTGCGTTTATTTTTAGTTTTATATTTGTAGTTTTATACTCTCATTAGACTACTTTATTTATGTTTTTATATTGTTTAAAATTGGAGAGTCCTAATATAATAATTATTAATGATATTTAAAGTTTACAATTAATATAATTCTTGTTTCGAAAAAGTATAAAGAATAAGATTTTTGCTATTAAGGTATAAAATGTTAGTAATATAAATGTATGTATAATATGACAATTATGTTACATCAAAAACATACGTAATAAAAATGCAATAGAATTATAATATAAGTATACATTTATTTTGTATCATTACATAACTTTGACGTCACAGAGCAGTGCATCGACTCGATATTTTATAAAAGCTAACTGAAAATGAAGGTAAAATGTAGAAGCAATAAACCTTTTCAGTAATAATGAAGACTGTTTACATATAGACCGAAAAAGCTACAATGTTTTATAGTTTTTAATTTTGTGATACGCTTAATATTTTACGAAAACTTATTGAAAAAAAAAGATAAAAAGTACATTTTATAACATTTGTCATGCGATTGCATACATATACACATATTAATTTATTACATTCTCATATGCAGAGTATTTTTTATTCTATCACGTTTTTCTTTTCCTTGTCTATGTAACAGAGTATTCAGTTCAAGATCGTTTATATTATTTTGTATCTGATCTTCAACTATTATAGGGATTTCAATCATGTCATTCTTCATCAAACATATATTGTGTAAAACACAACAGGCCATGATGTAATCAGGAATCAGATCAATTCTTCTCATTGGTAGTTTATCAAGAAGAATTCTAAACCGTGTTTTTAAAAGAGCAATGCTACGTTCTACTGTCATTCTTATGGAAGATAAACAATAGTTATAATTTTTTTGTCTTTCAGTTAATCTACCATTATCTTTGTACGGTACAAGTAAAGTTTTGAAAATTTTATAAGCAGCATCACCAATTAAATGAGTATCACGTGGAAACTTAATTGGATCGCTGCAAAAATCTTGTAGCATTGACACATTAAATACTCTTTGGTCATGCACTGAGCCAGGATATCCTACATAACAGTGTATGAACTCCATCTTATGATTGCAAACTATCTGTAATTTTAATTATTAGTTAATCTTAAATTATTTGAATTATGTAATAAACAATATAAATATTACTACCTGCAATTGAATGGAATGGTATCCTTTACGATTAATGTAACTCTCATGGTTTTCTTGTGGGGCTTCTATTTTTATATGAGTTCCATCAATCATGCCAATTATTCCAGGAAATCCTTTTTTTTCTTCAAGAAATGTAGCACATTCCATTGCTTCTTCTTCTGTTGGCCATTTAATATAATAATTTCGAAGATTGATCAAAGCATTTACAACTCGTTTTACTGATCGCCAACCAGTAGCTTTACCTACATCAAAACGATCACATATAGATCTGAAAGAAGAGTTTGTCAATAATACAAGATGATTAAAGAATATAATATATATATTATTAATATTTAATATTTTACCGATTTGAATCTGGTGTTGCAAGTGTCCATATCGTCATTAGTAGTTGTTTTTCAGGACTAATAGTATTTCGACCAGATTGATTACGATTTTGATCCTCTTTCTTTTTTAATTGTGGTTTTATAATTTCTAATACAAAATTAAATGTTCCTCGCGACATCCTGTAGTTAGTTATTCATTTTATATTATTATTTTTTTTATAAAAGTATTTTTTCAATTACTTTTTTTTCGTAAATCTTACGATTTAATTATTGCAATAATAAATTCTACGATTTAAATCATTATTACCTAAAGTGTTCTTTAAATCCTACATCTGAAAGATTTTGCACTATATTTTCAATATAATTTTTTATGCGTGCTCTTGGTATCAATAATCCTCGTTTCGAAATTTGCTTTAAGATATTTAAAATATACTCATCGTCATCATCTGAAGAACTGTCGGAATTATATTCCATACATATGACATTAGATATGACATTCTGAATGCCAATTATAATCGGTATTTCATTTGCCATTAGTTGCACAATAACGGAATTTTCTTTTTTAAGTTAAAACTAGTACTCATAAATCGCAGAAGCAAGCACGGAAACGGAATTACATGGAATCCAATGAAATTTAATAAATTAGGTTAAGTTATATGCATATCACGCTCGATTTACTGCAAATGCGTTCCGATTTATAACTGCTGTCAGTTCTGCTGCGAATTTCGGACCGGCTAAAATGTAGTGATTTCAGTAGTGGTACTGTCAGCGTTGTCAGCAAATTTCGGAACGCACCCTGAATAATTGTAAGAAATGCATGAAAGGATAGGCCGTCGTAATAACCGAACTCAGAACGTTGAATGAATTGAATAAGATGTACTGGTTATATTTCGATGTGGATATAGATAACTGATAATCTTGGTTTCACATAAATCAAACGTAAGAGACAAACACAAAATGCAACGTACACGTTCGCTTAATCCTGGCTCGCTACTCCACCATCTTCTCTTCTTCTCTATCTCTATCACTATCTGCGCCACCGGTAAGATGCTGTTACTGCGCATCTTGAACAACGTCACTGTCTAGTGATTAAGGCGCGATATTTAAATAAAATAATCTCACAATATCAATTATTTTTCATGGTAATATATTGTTAAATTTAGATAATATACACTTTATGTATGTTCATTTTAAACTGGCACCTTTATTAATAATATATCAGTTACTTTTCTGGTAATATATTATTTTAGATAATTATTTAAATTTTTAAAGGGTTAAATTTTTTTGAACATGGCCTAAACTTTTCATTTTTATGATTTTTTTGGGTTATTTTTATTGTTAAAAATTAGAGATGATAAAAAAAATTACATATACATATCTTAGTTAGTTAAGAGTGTATCATTTGGATTCTAATTTTTATTTTGGTACAATAATTTTTTTCGAAAAGTAATAATTCTTAACAGAGAATTAAAGTTGTTATTACATGAGTTGGAATAAGTAAAGGATTCTCGAATGAAAAAAACAAAATTTGTATTCACTCAAATAATATTTTGTACAAGCATATGTTTGATTCAATAAAACAAATTTTAGTTAAATAAATAGGAATACTAAATCCAAAAAAACTTTTTTATCTGTGTACTTTATCTTACTGTATTCATTATATATTAATGGACAATGGAGCGCAACTTATTTTATTTGTCATAATCGAGAAGTCACCGTTATATTATTCTGTAGCCTCCAACTTTCTTTCTTTATATGCAATAATCATAATTCACGATTGTCACATTACTGCGATTTTCAATGTATTCTTTTAATTCTTGGAAATTTAAATTTATTAAAAATGCAAAAAAAGATGACGAACTGGAAGTTTGAGAAGTAATTAAAATATGTAGATAAAAAAGAAGTATTGTGTGATAGCGCTGAGATCTAAGACTTGTATATATCGATTGCAACGATGGCAGAGATAGCGAACGTAGCAAATTTATACCAACATTCATTTTTAAATAAGGCAGAACTTATCGTAATAACTGACATGCATCTAATAGCATACGGATAGTACGACTTTGTAGAATTGCATGTTATGTTTCATGAAATAATTAGCAAAACTTATTTATGCATGAATTATATACAGCGGAAGTCAAAGTAGTTCTTAGATGAAAGAGAATAAAAAAAGCGATACGGTATGGAACGCAGACGAGAGAAAATGAAACCTGCAATATAATATAGCATCTTCAGAACGTTGTCTCGCAAGAAATACTTTTTATCGAGACTTCGCCTAAGATCTTAGAGACCTTTCTTTAGAATTTCAATCGAGAACGATGCACACTCTTCCGCTATCGTTCGCACTATTAACATGCACTGGATACTGGCGACCTATTAACTTGACATCCATCAAATATTGGGCATATACCGTTTATTCCATTACCATGAATTTTTTACTTCATTCATTTACATTTTGTGGTTTAGTCGACTGTTTTATAAGCGAGGATCTTAAGACATTCATCGAGAAATTCTCGCTATTCCTGTCAGTACTTGGCGTTAGCTGCAAAGTGACAAATCTGGCGGTACGTCGACACGAGATCATCAATCTCACCGATATGTTGTTGGATGACATCTGCGTACCCCGGAACGCTCACGAAACGAATATTCAGCGACGCTTCGATCGCAATGCGAAGTACGTATGAAAATACAATAATTAGCCTCAAAAGCCCCAAAATTACATTATAATATATTATTGTAATTAAAAGATTGAAAAACTATTTTGTATTTTAGAAAAGTATTTTGTATTTCATAAAAATTTTGGAAATATTTTATATTGTGTATTTCAAATCGAAAGATTGATAATATTTTGTATTTTGTATTTTAAATATTTTAATGATGTATTGTATTATAAATACTTCAATGATTTTGCTCAGCCTTGCCTTTACATAGTAATAGCCCTAACTTATCGGCCTGGATATCTATTATGGAACATGTATGTCGGAATAAATTCCGATCGGAAATATTCCGTTTTCCATTGAAAATACAATAAAAATCCAGGGAATAATTGAATAATTCCAATTGGAGATTATGGAACAAATCGAAATGGGTACAATTTATATATCCATAATAGCCCTGTTGAAAATTCTTGTAAGTTTTTTTTTCCAGATCTTAAAAGAGTATGTGATCAATCAAAATTACTAAATGAACGTAAATGATCATATAAGAATCTTACATAATTTGTACATGAATCTCACCAGTAATGTTTAATGACCTAGGAATCTGAAATGAATCGTATACGACGATTTATATCGCAATGAAAAGATCTTGCCTTAACCTTATAAGAAACTTTTAAAAAGTAGTTTCTTTACAGGATCATCTAAGAATATAGTATTAATTATATATGATTCTGAAGTGTTTCATGAAAGATTATTTATCAGTATTAAAAAATATATAGTTACGAAATAACTTATCTTTCAAGTTGGTGCAGGAAATTGGCATGAATCGTATACAACGATTTATATCACAATGAAAAGATTTTAATTACTTTAGCCTAGAGATGAAAATGACCAAATTTTACGATAATTTACTCGGTAATTTACTGTAAATAGTCAGTAATTTATGGAGGCTGGTAAAATGGTAATTTAAAAAAAATTATAAAAATAAAGTAATTTGATATAAGAGTATTTAGTCATTAAGTTAAAAAGTTTAAAAACACTTTATTTAATTTAAATTTTTATTTTGATACTACATATTGATAATCCTAAAAAAATCATAAAAATGAAAAATTCAGG